ATATATATATAGAGAGAGAGAGAGAGAGAGAGAGAGAGAGAGAGTTCTTTGAATAAAATTTTATCAGGTCATTCTTGCTGGGATCTTTCTGTAAACGTCAAATATCTTTAATAAATTCAGTGTATGAAATGATGTATGTCTAAAAAAAAACAATATAAATAAAGATTACATAAGTAAAAATCAAAGGCATCATTTTCTTTACCAACGCGTTTCGTCCACTGAAAGTCTTTATCAATAACATTTACTTCGATTAAAGTTCCTAAGTGATTTCTTTCCATTATCAGATTGAAAAGAAAATAAACAGAATAGGATCCTAATGAAAACCGCTTCCTGTAAATTTGGAATTTGGGATGTCATTATTTTAATTCATATATATATATATATATATATATATATATATATATATATATATATATATATATATATATATATATAGAGAGAGAGAGAGAGAGAGAGATGTATTTAGGCAGAAATCCTTCTTTCATACACATTACATATATATTAATATAATGCTTAGATTTTCAAAACACGGTCGTGGTATTGTGTCCATATTCATAGTTGATATTATTGCGTGTTTCTTTTTTCTTTTGTTTTTATTAATAAGGTTTTTATTATTTTTATCTTTTTTTTTTCTTTTTGCATGTAGATGATGCCATTATATTCGTGTTGGCAACAAATATATGATGAATAGGGTCCGGTAGGTCTCCATGAGTACTTAAATGAGACCTAATTGAGCTATGATCAGAATAGTGTAGTATGAGTCTTCGTGTCAAACAAACCATTTCTTGTTAGCAGTTAATATATTTAAACCTTGAAAATGGCTAAAGTGCTCGGATAAAAAGAACAATTGGACAGTTTTTCTATAATTTATCATCCGAAAAGAAAAAAAAATTAGATCACTTGAGAAATTGCGTAAAAACTAAATCAAAGCACCTTGTCTGTCGTATTCAATGATATATATATATATATATATATATATATATATATATATATATAATAAGGTTATCTTCTGAAAAAAGATTGTGGGCGATAATTCATTTAAGAGAAGAAATATTACTAAGTGCTCAAAATTAAATTGCATTAACAGTAAACAAAGCAAACAAACTACATAGATTAATGTTGACATATATATTCCGATGTATATGTGTAAAGAAAATTCAACGTACAGCAAGAATGTATTTGACAATATGAAATAATTAATCGGCCAACCATTTCTGGCGCAGAGGGAGCCTTCGGGGATTTATCTAGTGAAGTCACAAGCGTTTCTAATCACGACGGTGTAGCGACAAAATCCACTCTGTGATAAACTGGGTATTTACACGGAGAAATGGAACAATTTATATGCAATTTCAATTTCTCTTCATCCTTCACTTTTATCTATATCGCATGTCTCCTCATATTTCCCCTTTTCTAGCAAGATTAATGCTCGAGAAATGTGCATATAAGTTTTAGATCAAAATAAAATTCTTTTCGTTTTTCATTCAAAATACTCAAATTTTAGGAATACGTTTTCACAACATCGCCTACATGACGACGACGTGATCATATTTAAACGGAACGCTGATCTTATAAAAGATTTCAGTTATCTGTTTGGATTGGTCTTGCTTTTATGTCCATCGTCTTTTTCGTGTTGAATTGTATATGGTCTATGTTAATTATGTTTTATGAATATGTCCTGAAGATGGTCTATTAGACCGAAACGACCGACGTTGACATTATATTAACATTAAAGCAGCATAATTGCATATTAGGATTTTTGTTTGTTTTTTCCGTATATTTTTCTTCATACATCTATATCCATATATTTGCTTCCATATATATATATATATATATATATATATATATATATATATATATATATATATATATATATATATATTGCATATTTAGGTAGCAATTTTTCATTAGTGCATGCTTTATCAAATAATACTAAGCAAATAGAAGATAATACTGCTTCAACTAATCCCCAAAATATTATTCTCTTATATCGTAGTCAAATGCATACTAACTCTAAACAAGATGAAAATATACTAAAAAAATTAGTAAATACTAATATATCTACAACAGATCCTAGCAAAAAAATTAGGTTAATCATATACTACACTAAATCTAATATATCCAACTTAATTATTCGCAATGATTCTTCCCTCTCCTCCTTAACGATTGGTAAAAACCAAAATAGTTTACAAATTCAAGTGCCTTTAAATGCCTATAATTGATAACAGAAGCCATTGCTTTATACCAACGGCTTCCCATAATTAATACTTCTCGATTTCACTCTAGTGAGATCATGTGTGACGTCACGAGCTGCGATTTTCGCTTCCGCGTCTCGTATACACGAGTTAGTCGTTGCTTTGAAAATTTTCATGCAACAAAAACAGGCAATCATTATTGTTTCGTCCGTGTATTGGTTGACATATTGAAATGGAATTGTCATCTTTGATAATGGCTTATGTAATCCGAAAGCTTAGATTGGATTTAAACATGTATCAATATGGTGATTTCCTTTCGTCTTTCAATGATAATTTTATTAAGTTTATCAGACAATATGAAAGGAACTTACTTAAAATAAATAGACAAATCTTGTCTATATTATTTAATGAAAAACATGCATTATATATATATATATATATATATATATATATATATATATATATATATATATATATAATTTTAAGACAATTGCTGGATCTTTAGTGGTTTTGCTGACAAGGAGGCATTTATAGCAAGCTGGATTTATAGTAGAATGTTCAATATCAAAGATGGAGATACAGCGTCATTAGAAGAATTGATATGATAATATCATGCATAGATGCAAAACAATGTCAGAACTATATATATATATATATATATATATATATATAAATAATGCATATATATATATATATATATATATATATATATAAAATATATATATATATAAAATAATATATATATATAAAATAATGCATATATATATATATATATATATATATATGCATCATATAAATGTTTATGCATTTATATCTGAATAGTTAAACACAAAATCATGATTTTTATACATATATATATATATATATATATATATATATATATATATAAAGAAAATAAAAGATATAAATGTTACAAAACTATTAGTTGGCCTTCAATAAGTATTGCATATTATTATTTAAAAATTATGATAATTTGTTTTTTAAAAATAATAATAATAATAATAATAATAATAATAATAATAATAATAATAATAATAATAATAATAGCAACATATAGATAGCCTGAAGATTGCGTTCTACAATGAAACTGACTATTACCATACGGTGCAGACTCTATCCACTTTCATATTTACTTAATATCTCTCCCTGATATTTAACTGCTAACATATAGCATACATATATGCTCACCATGTACATTATATCTATCTATCTATCTATCTATCTATCTATCTATCTATCTATCTATATATATATATATATATATATATATATATATATATATAAAACATGTGAAAAATAACTATATTTTACGGAGAAGCCTCGCTGAATTGCGGCTAAATGAATGCTTCATCACATAAAAATTGATATGGAAAAATGCAACGTCATTCCTAGAAAAAAACAAATCTTTGACAATCATATTTACTAAAACAAGCATAAAATAATGTTTGCTTCGAAAATAATGCATATATATATATATATATATATATATATATATATATATATATATATATATATATGCATATAAATGTTTATGCATTTATATCTGAATAGGTAAACACAAAATCATGATTTTATACATATATATGTAGGAAGACATGGGAATATTTATGTACATTGTACATTCATATTTATATATATATATATATATATATATATATATATATATATATAAACATGTGTATGTGCCTCTCTCTCTCTCTCTCTGTGTAGGTGTGTGTGGGAGGGGGGGTTGCGTGCATGCGTATGTGTATTACTGACTGATATTGTTAAGAAATAGCGTGGCATTTCTGTATATGCGTAAGTATTAAGAATTTAATCGGCCTGCCTCGGGGAGTGTATGAATCATAAATTGGAACATTACAATCTTTAGAAAATTCCGGCATCATTGAGGGAACGAGGTGAATCCTTTTGGGTTCAGCTAATGCAAAAAGCTACTCAAATATTTTCAATTGGATTTTCTTTGAAATGATTTTTCTCCTTTTTAATTGCATTGAAAAGAAACGGTAAGATCCTACAATCTCCGCTATTTTGTACCACCCCTTTCCCCGGTTTCCATGCGTGCGCATGCGTGTATAAAAGTCGGAATGCTTGTCGATACGCACGTATGTCTGAGTTAATATTTACGCTCCTGGATGTATCGTTTTGATAGTGTGGGTACAGCGGCAGGGTCGCTTTTGTATATCTTGCGTGCGGTGCGTATATAGGATATTATTTTTATATTGATTGCGATCAGAGCATTAATCAGATTTAGAAAAATAGCAGAAGACGTAGATGGCCGATTTGCAGTATGTCGAGGTGAATTTCTGTATATCTTCTTTCAGTCATCCATCCTTTTCTTTTTCTGGCTCTGCCAATTTGAATCTGTACATATCTGTGTACGTTTTATGGTGTAATGAATATCGACTTGAAATTCAATATATATATATATATATATATATATATATATATATATATATATCGGAGAACAGAGTTCGGATTCCAGTCGGGTTCGTTGCATTCACTTACGCAGAAATATCCTTTGGAATGTTAGGAAACCAAAATTTCTCCTCCCAGTCATCGGTTGAATAAAAGGTTCAGACGAGGTTCTATAGCCTTGGTTGACAGGCAGTCTACTGCAGAATGAAACGCCGCCCTACTGCAGGAAAATCTTCTGCCTGGTCAGTAATGAATCGAAAGAAACATGACCGTCAAAGCGTCTATCAGCAATGACACTGATTGATATATCTATCGAAAACTCTTTTCAGCTAACTTAAACTATTTCTACGTATATATGCAATGTTCAACATATCTCTACATTATTCTCGCTTC